AAATTCTTCCAGATAAACTTTGGTTTCAAACACAAGATCCATCTTAAACTGTAATATGTATAGTACATAGTACTATAGTAGTTAGTTTCACTATTTTTAGTTATGTGTGTTAAAATGAAATGTGTTTGACTTGGAGCTAAATAATTAATGTTAATAAACTTTTATATTTTGAACAGAAGTTGTGGTAAATTTATTCCGTGAATGTGCAGAATTAACTATTTGTCCATGATTTGAGCTTGAATCACTCTTTCATCTATTGTTCTAACACACAGCTAGTAGTGAGTGTGTTCATAAAACAATATATAACAGCCCAAATAATATCTGATTAAATAAGATATTTACCACGGGAAGGGCAATAAAAGTCTTAAAGCAAAATAAATATAAATTCCCCCTGGCTAATATAATATCTAATTTCTGGATGAGAAGACTATGACTGATTTTATTTTTGTGATTTGTTTTCCCTTTACAGATCCTTATGCTCTACCCTATAAAAACAGTTTGGCCCCTCTGTATATGTGTATTCTCACTCGATGGAAATTGAGCAACTGGAGCAAATGTTTCCATGTTATCTTTATGTATAAGGGTGGCTCTGGCTCAGGAACAAAGCAACTGAATAAGGTGAAAGTTGCGTATTTATGTAGGGGAATGGCACGATTTTGGTAAATTTGGTGAAATTTGACCCCTATAAATTAAGTGAAGTGAAATTTGCAGGATATGAAAAATCTGAACTTTTTTAAAATTTGCATCTCAAAATCCAGGAAGGTACTAGATATGGCAGTGAGCTACAGTAAAGCAGGCAGAAGATACAAGTTTGTTTTAATCAAGCCGCAGCCTCTCTTTGCTGGTGCCCCCACAGGCTCCTCCAATATACCGTTGTGCTTCTCCGTTCTCTTCCACATATATATCTATATCTATCTATATATCTATCTATAGATTGGGGGAAAAACTTAAAATGATTAAATGTGGTCTGTTTAACAAAGGATCTCTTTCCTCTAAAAGTCTACAATTTAATGACTTTATTTATGATAATCACATTGACTTGTGTTGCCTTTCAGAAACCTGGCTGCAGCAAGAGGATTATGTGAGCATAAATGAGGCAACTCCTTCAAGCTATTTAAA